GTTGAGAAGTGGTCGGGGCGATCTCTTCCGCTAATGGATACTACACATGATCCGTTTCAAATCCTGGAGCGGCTGCTCTTTTGTATAACAGGCGAGCTCATCCACATGAGAATAATAAAATGAACGACGCAAACTTTGAGCGACAACCCTTGCTCAAGCTTAACAAGATCTAGAACCCCCCTCCGCTTCCCCCCCCCCCCCCCCCCCCACCACACACACACACAGACTGGCGAAGGCCCAAATCATTAAACGTCTTCAAACGAATTCTATGCTTGTGTCCGCATTGTGAAGGTGCAACGGCCACGAAGAGGGAGCCAGTTTTTCTTCTTCAATACTTGTGCAAATGTGAAAGATTGTTTGGAAATAGTTCATTGTTATGAACGCTAAAGATGTGTCTTCACACAATAAAGTAATCGGAAAGTAACGATTACTTCTTTAAGTAATGTCCAATTACTTTTGCCGTCGAGTAATCAAGTAATCTAATCGAATACTTTTTAGCCAAGAGTAATCGTAATTGTAATCGATTACTTTTTTTAAGTAACGTGTACAAGACTGCTTATCACCCGGGCGAAAAATGCTGAGTCACTTAGCTGTGGACGCATGCGCAGCGTCCTGATATACCGCACAGCAGAGCAACAGCGCATACTCAGAAGGCGTTCCCACAGCCCAGCAGACAAAGATAGCAGCGCGCAGGCGAGTTTCGCAAAGCTCTACACTCTAAAAAAAGCCCTTGCGTCTGCTTTCTCGCACAACACTTGGAGAGCCAATCACCGCAACTTACGGAGGCAGCTCAACGAATGACGATGCCGAAACATACGTTTAGACCAAAAAACGCAGTCTGAGTTGTGACATTAAGCAATGCAAGTGTGACGTTTTGCATTGCTTAATGTCACAACTCAGAGTGCATTTTTTTTGGTCTAAACATATTTTCGGTATCGTCATTCGCTGAGCTGCCTCCGTAAGTTGAGGTGATTGGCTCTCTAAGTGTTGTCCGGGAAAGCAGGCGCACAGTAATTTTTTAGAGTGTATAAGCTCATGTAAAGTACGTTACTTTTTTTTTAAAGTAACAATTGACACGCATGACAAAGTATTTCAGTACATTCTGCTGCTGTGCGCCGCCACTCGCTTCCTGATGCATGCAGTCACGCAGTCGGCACTTCGAACAATGACGTACCTTAGGCCGGTCCCTTTTTCGCTTGACCCGCGACGCTCCAGATATAAATCCATCCCAAGGGGTGCACTCCAAAGCACCGGAAGGTCATATTAGACTCGCCTCACGAACACATTTGGAAAGCGAAAGTTCCTACATTTTCTTAAAACTCAATAAAGACACTGTTCATGATGAAAAACAACGCGAAAATACAAGGACACAGAGGAAAGAACACACGGCACAAGGCGCTCTTCTCTTCTCCGTGCCCATGTATTTTCGTGCTGTTTTTCATCGTGAACATATACCAACTAGCCCAACTATTTATTCTAGTACACTGTTCAACAATCAATCAATCTCACTCACGGCGAAACGAAGTCGTCTGCTCGTGCGCTAGCCTTGGCAATGCATTCTCTCGCAGATGTGTCTCGTAAGATGTTTGCTCAATTTCGTGTCGGCAAAACGGCACGTCTTCACTCGGTTTTACGTTGTCGTGAAACCGCGAGACTAGAGAAGTTCATTGACATATAAGTCAATGTTTCTGTGTACAGATGTCTAACAGCGGCAAGTCCGTCTGCATTCAAACGGCGACGTCCACATCAATCATTATAATCTGTGGTTTACTGGTCACTGCTTCCAGACCAACTATTTCTGAATGGTTATGCCACTGGCCTACATAGCTAATGTACCGGGTATATGTAAAAAAATTTAAAAAAGTACAAATGTTTCTTCGTTGCTGTTTTTGCTGTTATTGCGACATAACTGTAACTGTTATTGAGACAAAAAAAAACGCATTGTTATTGTTTGGTTTCCGCCCAAATATGGAGCTAGCGGTTCGGACAAGATGCTGAAGTTTCAGAGCTTGCACTTATAATTCAAAAGTACTAAGCGATTTTCGAAAATTTCCAAGTGAGAAAAGGGTTCGTTTCCGCGGTATCCGACGCCATACATCTTCATGCATTCGTGGGCTTTCTCAGCCGCCATTTTATAACTGAAACATTTTCGAATATCTTACAACTTTTACAACCGGATAACGGCAAGCTCTGAAACTTCGGAATCTGGTTCTGCCCGTTACATTTCAGCGGTGACTCAAGTTCAACAAAAAAATAATTAATTCGCGACAAAAAAAAAAAAAAAAAAGTTATTCTTTAGACATTTGGTAGATTAACCCGAAGTTCATCTTCAGTCACGAAGAAAACAGCAAAGAAACCCAAGACTAAAGCGAGCTTGCGACACCACCACTCCCGCTGTCTAAAGAACCCGAGACGGGGTCCAGAACGCCGGAGTCCGGGAGGCGCCCCGGCGTCATCGATCGCAGCCCGGGGCGGAACCCCGGCTCGCCCGACGCCTCCGGTCGGAACGACTCGAGGCGTGTGAGCTGCTCCGGCAACGACGCGCCATACTCGCCTCCCGCGCATGCGCGCCCATCCAGCTTACCCGCCACACGTTTCGCAGCCCCCCATTGGTTCTTCGATCCGCCGACGTCATTCGGAGGCGACGGAACGGGCGACCAATGACAGCGGCCCTCAGGTGAGGACCGTGAAAATCGGGTTGCTCCGAGTGCAATGCGCACTGCGTTCAACTTGTTTGCCATTGGTATTTACGTTCTCTTCATTCTAGCTGCCTCTATAATAAATTATTTAAAATCCTAATCCATACAACATTTTTTAATTCACACAGATGCGCTCATGCCCCCCCCCCCCCCCCCCTAAACACACACGCATACCACGCCCTCTCCGTCCTTGAAATTTTTTCCAAGACATTGGTGCTTACTGTGTTGATCTACAAATTGAATGCACTCGGCAAGATCGAATAAACCTTACTGAAAACTACATAGTACGCTTCGAAGCTTCTAGGTAAAAACGGGAAGGCAAAGTCAGTTTCTAGACTGCACGAAACCAACGTAAACAAAAAGACATTCTGCGGTAACCAATTTATTACACACAACACTGACATTTCTTTCTTCGAGCGAAAACCGAAATAATAAGTTTTTTTCCTAGTCAAACAAGAAAGGAGTCACCCCAAATGAACGTAACATTGTACAATTTTATTATAATGACCATGCAGAACTCGCTGCTACACTTGCGCAACATCATCGCAGGTGCTAACGAGAGCTTGGAATGCAAGGCTGGAAAAACCTGAACACGATGGACATATGTCACAAGTTGGGGACACTGTACACCAGCTATCGGGGCTACAGCAAATATGTAACATGGGAATGACTAGACCTAAGCTACAACAAAGTTGTCATTCATCCCGGATCTTCGAGACATTTATCCCGAATTCTCGTAACTTAATGCACAAGAAAAATTATATTCCTACATGTAATACTTTATACAGATTTCCAACATACAATATGGAGACAAAAAAAAACGCAATTTGTTTTATTTGGGGATTTTCAATCTTGAATTAATGAACTGTATTAGAAAGTTCAAATGTTTTAGCTCTATCGACGCAAATCCTTGTCTCAAAGTTTCGCCTCTTCTGAAGTTACATTACACTTTACGGTGCACACGATGTACTCTTTGTAGAGTGTAAGCTACCTACCTCTCGGAGTAGATTCAGAAGGACGTTAATTCCATCACGCCGGGGTGTCATGTCACACGCCGAGGTACGATTTTGAATGCAAGGTTGCATTCGAACCCACCTTCTTTTAAATGAAAGTCTGAACTAAAAGGTGTCAAGCAAAGATCAAGTTAACAACCAAGCACAATAAATAACAAATTTTACACTGGTTTAATAATTGTTCGGAGAGTTGAGAGCCCAAGTCAGAACAAGCTAACATATACGTGGGAGAAAATGATTTCATTAAGATGGAACTCTACCACACTAAAACACATTTGGTTGAAAACCTGACATTAGAATGTAACCCCACTTCGGTTGTGCAACGTATAGCAATCGCTAAAAATAGAAATAGGTGTGTAATGGTTATAGATAAAATGAGAATCAAAACACTTTATTTTTCCTTCATTTTTTCAACTCTCGGTCACCTTTTATTTTTTTGTGATAAAGATGTTTTGTTAGGAGTAAGGAAAGTCAGGACTTTCAGAAATAATGATTTAAATCATCGCTTCTGCAAAACTCTCCCCCACTCAACACACTCACGCACTCAATGGACTGTGTTCAAGGTGGCGTTAACCTTAAACGCAATTTTAATTTACAAAACTTGGAAGAACAAAGCAAAGGGTGACTGGTTGTGCTCTCTGGATTATAGATCGGCGTTTCGAACCGAAGCGGAACACTTCGTCTAATCTATTATTTGCAAGGTGATAAATAAAGAAAAATAATAACACAGAATTCCCATTTTGCAGCCGACCGGGCTCAAATTCCCAATAGTTAGCACAATATTTCGTACTTGGATCAGAATTGCGGCAGTGAAACACATGCCGGCCCTTTTGAAGACACTCACCAACGCTCAATTGTGCAACCCCCGCAAGGGAAGGGGAGGGGGGAGGGGGGAGGGGGGGGGGGGGGGGGGGGCTCCTTTCTTAAGTCTGTCATCCGCCGTATGAAGCCATCTAGAGATTGTCTCTCAAAACTGTATTCTTCGGAGATGCTATGTTAAGCGCCACCTGCCGCTGTGCTTCATAACTTGGGACTTCCGGAGTTCACTGTAAATACTACAGAAGCCGTCCACAAAACAGTGGTGCGTCGAACGATAGGAGGCGGGCCTTGGGCCTTTGAGGGAGAGGGGGTTACTGCTCGCGGAAGCAGTGTCCATGGACAGTTCCGCTACCGAGCTGATCTAGTAACGTTCACACTCACTATGATCGTTTTTTTACGTTTTACTGACCACAAGCAGAGCCTCTTATACATCTACAGAATACCCCCTCCCCTTTTCCATATTTTTTTCTTTCCAGGGGGTGTCTCAGAAAGGACACGAGAACAGATAAGTAATTTATCGCACCTTCAACTACGACGACAGACACACAAAACGTTTCCAACAAAATCTGCAATATAAACAAAAAACTGTTCTTGGCAGTGACGCCAGTCTTTCGATTCCACCGAGCCTACTATGAAACAAAGCTCGCGCTCAGTCTTTCTTCATTCGCTGAGAGGTCATGCGGTAGATGATGGAGTCCCGGCCAGGGTCCATGAACCAGAGTCCCACGCTGATGCCGAAGATGGACAGGGCCATCAGAATCACCAGGAAGGCGATGATGACGAAGGCCACGTGGAAGTCCTCGTTCCAGGGATAGGCGAGGTTCCAGGTGTCCTCCGCGGCCATCAGTGGTTCCTGCGAGATTGTGTGCTGCGTTACAAAACGTCCCGTAGCCATAGCCTGAAGGGAGGAATCCCTCCCTTTGCTCACCGGGACGCGCACCACGCGATAACAACGACACGCTTTTGCGCGGAGCCCCGCTGACCGGGACATCCCAGGGGGTGGGGAGCTTTTGTTTTGCTCGGGCTGCACGAACACTTCCCACGTTCGCGAGGGATCTCTTTGCAACTGGCGTTATTCCGTTCGCGTGTCTAGAAACCTTTACCCATTTCGCTCGGCGAGATACCGGCAGTGGTATCGGGATCGCCTAACTTGTGGCTCGCGCTGTTGCGCATGTCGTCCGAGGCACCCGTCCTCAAGCCGCTCCTCCTACAACGGGTTTTTGATTCCACATCCTTTGTGTTGCATCCACCCAGTCAAAAAGCATCTTTCTTTAAGGAAAAAAACTGTTGGTCGTCTTCTGCATCTAACAGCGCTGCTGCAATAATCGCGCATTGCCGTTTCATGTACACCTCCATTTCTCTACTCTCGTCAGCGCGCACGTAGTCCTGTTGCCGAGAGCGCGACCGCTAGATCCGTCCGATAACACCGACAACCCTCTCGGCTCCCCCGCCGTTCGTGTGAATGCTCGAGTCGGGGAGAGAGTCCCGCCTATCACTGACGTCTCGCACATCCCTCCGCGAAATGCATCCCCGTGTGAATCCCCCCTAGCAGAAACAAGTCTGCGTTTGCCCGCACCAGGTGTGGGCCCTACAGGTGCGCAGAGAAGAGAGTCGCGTCAAATGTGGCCACGTCTGCCGTGCAGAGCCGCATACATCTATCCATGGCTCTGACGCCGTGCCGACAGCAGCGCCACCGCAGCAGCGTGACGTCAGAGCCGCGAGTTGGTGCAGACATTAAGGCTGTCTGGCCTTATTTAGAACGCACCTAACTTTAAAAAGTGGGACTACCGTTAGGTGGACACCGTCTTTACTGCGTATTCATTGGACTCGGTCGGCACTAGAACAGGAGGGGGGAGAGATGATTATCACGATTCGTTGGTTAATTCACTCAAATTCGATAATTCTCCTTTTCGATTGATGGTCTTATGTTTATGAATTCGAAGCTGTAGCTGTAAAGGCGGTCGTATCAGAGGTCATACCAATCGATACGGGGGGTATTTGCTAGACGCCATATTTGAGCGCGCTGTTTAGAGCGCATGCGCAGAACGATCTCATACTAACAGGCTGCCAGGACCCTCAATCTTCATGGCGCGGAATGCACGTTGCGAAAGAACTGTGGGGGGCTCGCCATCGGCACGTGCTCGGCATTCTCGCACAGAGTTATGACCACCAGTAAATACTAAAACCTTTTAAAAAGAGGGGGGCTCTTGGTTGTTTTTATTTTTAGTGTTCGTGCGTATGGCGCGTGATTTGCTCGCTTTGCAAAGCGACGAACAAGCGCGTGTTGGGCTGAGGAGATCGTACGCTGGGCTGAGGACTTGTAAATATTGGAGTCGCGCCTCGTGCGTTTGTTTACCCCCCAAATGAGTCCACGCGTGCTTTTAGCGCGAGACATATGGACAGCAGAATCATCCGATCCGACGTCCGATCCGACAGTCCGAACGCCGCTCCGAATCGACCTTGCATGCGAACACGACGATCCGTTCGGCTCCGCCCAGGAGATCCAAGCACTCCAGCGGAGGTCCGCGTTCACAGATCTCTAGTCCCAGATTGACAATTTAGCTTGCACGAGCGAAGTTAGAAGCTCGTTCTCGTTAGCGCGTGCATTCTTTGCCGGGGCCATCTTTCTCGAATGGGTCAGCGGGATCCACGCGTCCGGCCTCCCGTCGCCCGTCCCGTTTTCTTGTTCGCACCCGCCAGACCCAGTACGTCATCATGGCGCTCGCGCTAGCTGTGCTGTCATTGGCTGGACGCATCCGACAATCCGTCCGCCGTGCGAAACTATCTGGCGCGTTGGACGCACGTCGGATCGCCGATCCGACGCCTGAAGCGACCAAAGTTTTCGGATCAGGCAGTCGTACTGCCGGATCGGACGTCGGATCGGATGGATTTTCCGCGCATGTGTCTCGCGCTTTTGTGTCCCTCCCTCCCTCCCTCCCTCCCTCCCTCCCTCCTCCTCCTCCTCCTCCTCCTCCTCCTCCTCCTCCTCCCCCCCCCAAACCGCCTACACCCAATGGCGGCGCGCGCTTCGATGCCTCGTCATCGCTCGCTCCCAGTGTGTTCTTTATGTTCCCCATTGATTTGCGTACCCCTGCTTGCGTTCCGATGCTCCGAAGGCGCACTTCGGAACAAATGCTCGACGTATTAATTTACTTTTTTTTTTTGGCAGATACCGGTTGTTTGCAAGTCTGCAGATTTGTCCGTTGAGTAGCATGAAAAAAGAAAAACCCTGCGAGGGCGTCAATTTGCGGTCACTGATAAGCTGGAAACAGCTGTCAAAGTGTGGGAGTGAGACACTCCCAAAAAGTGCTTCCAGCAGTCCATGGAGAGGCCGCCACACAGGGTGAAGGGCATTCGGCAACAGGGGGAGGAGGTGGACACGTGTACCAAGAATTCAGGGCGAGGGAAAAGAAGGCTGGGGAAGAGGAAGCGGGCGGAACAGTGGAGAGAGATGGACGTCTCCTCGTCTCCAGCCTTCATTTCCGTCGCCCTGGGTACTTGACGGGGTTTCCGATATTCGCTGGTTAGTTTTCGCCTATTTGTCGCCCCATTGCAGAATGCCGATACACGAAATCCTGTCCGAAACAATGCTCAGAAGAGTGACGGGTATCTAGTCGTTATCTTGGCACCGTGCTGTCGCTGCTACCGAGATAACGACGAGTGCCCGTCACAATTACGTCACTCTTTCCAGGAGTGGCTACGGCGCTCTCTCTGCGTCCAATTTTGAAATCCATTGACGAGCGCGTAGAAACTAATCAATGAATATCTGAAAGTTATGGCCTTTTTGCAAAGTTTATCAAATGTTCTGGCCACTAATAAGGACTGCCTTTAATACTGCAATCGCAGCATGACCCATAAAACCATTAATCAAAAATGTAATTAATTGGTTTCAGTTAATTGGCGAATAGATCGGGATAATTATCATTCGTCTAATGTCCGCCGAGCCCGATAAATAAACAATAAGGACTGTATTTGTGTAATACCCCTTCCCCCTTGTTTTTAAAATGCGTTCGAAATAAAATCAGACTCCCTGTATATCGGTACATTTGGTATTATAAAAAAAAAATCCATGGGAGCATTTCTTCTAAAACAAAAATGTGTGTGAAGATTTTTTTTACAATAATTTTTCTTTAAGCATTGTGACACTTCGACCGAAATGCGCACCAGGTAACATATGCGTGTCGATCGTATCCAAAACACCGAAGAAAAAAAAAAAAAAAAAGAGCATTCCAAATTTGTTATAAGCTCGCCGTTACGAACAGCTTCCTGAAAGAGGGCGATACAGACGACACCAGTAACATCGCAATAACGGTCTATCTCCCGGTGGTACAACGCAGCCTAATTCAATCGCCGTGTAAACGACCGCAAGATTCGTACGGGCCGTCAACCCGGCGCAGGAGCTTAATACCGGGACGGCCATTAGCGCCATCTAGCGCAATTCTCGCGCCACTGACGCCATTCTATAACCCGACGCACCCCCGCTCCCTCGGGAGCCGTTCGGGAAGCGCCGGGAACACTTCGCGCCCGATCGAACGGCAATCCCGACGGCAAGGTACGATCACGTTACTCCGATCCACGCGGCACATCGAACAAAGCTTACCTCCATTCGGGCAAAAAAACAGAAAGAAAAAAACTCTCCGTCAGCGTTAATTATTCACAACTGATTCGCCAGAAGGAAAGAAATGGCAATAAAATGTAATGCAGTTGAATGCAACCGACTGGGTGCTAGAAGTCGGTAGGGATAACGAAAAGAAAAACGGTACCGTATCATCAAGTATACTGACATGAACTGCATGTGGCTAACAACGGGTGTCATTGGGAAAAGTCTCCTTAAGTTATTTTACTATCTTAATGCGCTCTGATATAATCAACGCTGCCTGATAGAATCCAAGCAAAACTAACCCCAAAAATGGCTTCCAATCGCTGTTAAGTTGTTTCTGTAACAGACGGAATATATGTAGAAATAAACCCTTCAAATTAAACGGCAAATCGCGCCACAACAAAGTTTTTTTTTTTTTTTTTTTTTTTTTTTTTTTTTTTTTTTTTACGTTTGTATGCTGAAAGTTATATAGGAGAAAATGCGCGGTTACCTCTAAAAGAAAGTCGTGTGAGCTCCCAAATGCAGCCACCATTTCGCCAGAAAGCCGCTCCCCGGCTAAGTCTCTAAGTGGAAAGGTCGGCTACCATTACCTCAAGAAGGTTTCTCCTCAGAGTCTCAGCTCTTTCCCCGAAGTCGCTTAAAAGAAAAAAAAAAAATAAACTGTTTTATTAATTAATAAGATAATCTCTGTTTGCTAATTCCCATTTTCCCTAGTTACGGCGAAAGAACTGCAGGAGAGGGCGTCGCCTAGCAAGCGTTTTAACCCGTGAAGCGCCTTCGAAAATGGCAAGGCCCGTGCAGCAAGGGCCCGCGCAGTGGCGTTTCTTTCATTTAGCGTTTTGGGAGCGATTACAGAACTAGCGTAATGCAAACTAACAAAAATAAAACGCTGTTAAGCTACGAGACCCCAGATGACACTAAACACACGCCATTAAAAAGAAAACACAAAACAAAAATAATACCTTTCTATGTTGCATTGTCAAGTATAATGACCCGTTCAAAGCACTGTATGCAACCCACCCTAGAATGCATTTTCCGGGGGAGAGACCTCATTTGAGTAGGTGCCCCGTTAGCGCTAGTATGGTATTCCGATGAAATAAGCCGCAGTATGAAGGTTCCATTCGAGTTTGGAGATGTTAACAGTTGTGAGATCAACGTATTCTATCAATCCCTCGTAGTCACAACAGAAGTTCAAGAGCATTCCAACTATACTTTCGACATAATATTTAAGAGCAATTGAACCCTCTCGAGAT